CAAGTCGTTACGAACAAGGGAATCCGCGACCAAGTGAAAGAACAAGCCAACGAGCCTGGTCCGACGAACCACAAAATAACGACGAAGGCGGTTGTCATGGCTCTACTGGTAAACCCAAACCTATTCTACCCCCCACTGTATGCTCTTTCCACACTGATTCATTACAATACGTTAGTTCTAACAGGGGTTTTAACCCTGCGCTGAGCACAACGAGTACTCCACAAACTAACCTGTTGCTTTATGCTGGCAGCATTGGCGTCACCGTAATTGACGGTCGCCTGGACACCCTCGTATGAGGACCTAGCGCGGGCGCGGACACTGGCTTGTCTCGTGTTGATTATATCATTGTTATGCGCATATAGCGCACTAGTCAAAGAGTTTTATTAATTGGCATATTCTCGCAGCAAAATAAATAGAATATATTATATCTATATATAGTATAATAATATATAATAATATCAGGAGTGAATAATAGAGATTCTTTATTATTCACTCCTGATAATATTTAATATATAATATTATTTATTAATCGGCATGTTCTCGCAGAAAAATGCATAGATATACCTACTGTGAGCTCGTCCATGTCATAAAAATTTGGTCGGCTGGACACCCTCGTATGAGGACCTAGCGCGGGCGCGGACACTGGCTTCTCCCGTGTTCCTTATAATATGCGCATACAGCGCATTAGCAAAATATATAGAATATATATCTATATATATGATAATTATATATGTAACAAACTTGCCTTTTTGCCGACAAGACGTTATCCCGGGCCTAATGTTCGGCCCGGGTATAATTCATTGACAGGAACGACCACTGGACTAACGGAATCCACACGTAATTCATGAGACGCAACGACAACGTAACGGTGTGCACACCGGGTGCCGGGGCTTTTATTACACACTGTTGACCATCAGGCCAGCGGCAGATAAAACACACCCCGTGATTATACGTTATTTTGTGCTGAAGGCGCGAATACAGCAATGAGCCGTGCTTAGCTAATCGGCTACACCCGACATGATCAGCTAGCAAGGCGGGCAAGCCACCAACAGCTAAAGATCAGTGGGAGGGTGAAAGCTTTATTGCTAATGCTCACCAAGCGGTGTGTTCCTTGCCTTGCGTTGTGTGTTCTGTAGTCAGGAAGGAGGCAGCAAGCGGCGTGACCCTCGTCCTGCGTGGTGTGTTCTGTAGTCAGGAAGGAGGCAGCGAGCGGCGTGATCATCGTCCTGCGTGGTGTGTTCTGTAGTCAGGAAAGAGGCAGCTAGCGGCGTGATCCTCGTCCTGCGTTGTGTCCGGGCGTAGACTTTCGACTGAGCTCCGCTACACCCTACATGGTCAGCTAGCAGGGCGGACAAGCCACCAGCAGCTAAAGAGCAGTGTGAGGGTGCGAGCTTTCCTGACTAAGCCAAGCTGGCTTTGTGTTGCTTTGGAGCTGGATGCGGCAGCTTATATACAGCCGTGAGACATCACGTGGTCACAGCCATGGAACCCCTACGTGTGACCTGCAGGAGTCCCGTCCAATTAAACTATAGGTCAAGTGGTCCAGCATGGCTTTCCTTTCCAATCCGCTGCTAGCCCACGTGGCTACGAAGCCGTACGTCTTTAAGGTTGAAGTAATGCTGACGCATGCTATAGTGTACGTTGCACGGCGGGTCGAATTCGCTACACTGCCCTCATCTTTCTCAAGTCCTGCTTGAAGAACTCGCATGACAAAACGTAGCAAAGACCCGCAAGTCAGTGCTAGTGGTGCATTCCACAGAATCGGTGCGCGACGTCCTATGACGTCAGAGCTGAGATCTTCTCGACGATGTTTGAGACGGCCGTCGTCGTGCCGAAGTACGACTCGAGGTACTTTGGCAGGAAGGCGAAGTAGCCAATGATGCTGTAGAAGTGGAAGCAGACGCCCAGCACGACGCAGACGTACCGACCATAGGTGAGCAGACGCCTCATAGCGCGTAGAAACTCTGCAAGGTTAGAGCAACGCGTGCGTACATACAAGAAAGATCATAATTACGGAAAGAGTACGTGACGCTAACACGTTGGAATTTCAACGTCTACTACTTTCGGTTTACCCATGATGAATTTAATTACGCATTTCTTCTGTAGATAATGAGCTTTTGATATGATTCTATAGTACGCAAGAATTAACATTACACCAGGAGTTTATTAATTGATCAACTCCTAATTACACGAGAGTAGAATATTTAGTGATTACTGCGAGTATATATAACAATTATCGTAAGTACATATAACAGTTATTGTAGGTTCCCCGTTCTGCCGGTGATTCCCCGTTCTACCTCGGCGATCCCCCGTTCTGCCGGTGATTCCCCGTTCTGCCGGTGATTCCCCGTTCTGCCGGTGATTCCCCGTTCTACTGGTTATTCCCCTGCATATCCACGCCTCTTCTCTGTAGATGGCGCCCTTATCAGCGAAACTTGCGTGCGTGCGTGCGTGCGTGCGTGCGTGCGTGCGTGCGTACGTGCGTGTGTACATGTGTGTAAGTGTGTACTGTTCGTTACCTCAAACTTTTCCACGTTGTTAACCTAAGGTAGAAGGGGTGGTTAGATGGTGAATCTGCAGCTTGCATTGCATAATCCCAAGAGTACATAATAATTTTTTTTATTATGTTATGGTTATGGTTATGGTTGGTTGGTTGGTTGGTTGGTTGGTTGGTTGGTGAATATGGTTATTATGTTATGGTTATGGTTTTATTGGAACAAATTGTTTGGGACTTCACCTGAAAGTGTGCGTTTGATGGTTTGCGCGCGCGCGCGTGTGTGTGTGTGTGTGTGTGTGTGTGTGTGTGTGTGTGTGTGTGTGTGTGTATATATATGTATGTATGCATGTATGTATATAGAGTGTGCCATGTAAAATATTACTATCATTTGTAATAGTAACATTTATGTTTTATACCGAAAGCGGGTGTTAGGGTAGTTTTGCTGCCAGTGACATTTGGAGGTCTTCAACCTGTTAGTAACACTATAGAATTTTTTTTTATGTGTAAACACTTATTATGTTACAATTATATACAAATATATTTAAATATTTTGTAATTTTGAGTGCGTACTTAATGCACCTTGTTGTAACCGCATGCTAACTGTGTGATGGGGGATATATCGGTGCTATATTGTACCGTAGGTATATTGTGTTTGGTTATGGTATTAGGCGATTTTATATTCTTTCTCTAACGTGTTGTCCGATAAACGCTAGAAAAGTGAGTTGATAATGGCTGATATCATGCACCCATCTATATGCTCATATGTATAAATAGTTCTAGTATAAATAGTTGTTGAATAGGAGCATAAATATCCACATGATCCAAATGTCCATTATTTGCTCTTGGCACTAGTAACATTATAGTTGTTGTACGAATTTATTTCTACTTAGAAGATGGTTTTATGTTTAGGTTTTGTTATGTGTACTGAATGCGCTTAAGTTTTATTAAATTTATTTGAATAAATATAATGATGTCAGGTCAATGAGTGTTCAATCTCGAGTAATTCAATTAAATTATTTTTGGCTGTCTTTATTAATGATGGGATAGTGCCTACCCTGGCTGGCGCAACACAAATAAAATTTAAATAAGCCAATAGATGGCTATACGTGTTCAACATTCAGAAATTATCTGTTTAATTTAGAAAACACAAACCCACCTGTCATTTTAATAAATCATAAACTGTCTACGCTTCTTTTTGCACATGCCTATAGTATCTACTAAAATGGAAGAATATTTTTGTTTAAGTTATAAAAAAAATGTAAAGCAAATATTCCTCGCTGTAGCCTGATATGAATGATGATATCATTTCTTTCTATAATAACGATAAAAGAGCTCTAGCTGGCTTACTTAATGCGAATGAGATAAAAATCAGCCAGTAGGCTCCAGAGGGCGATTTGTGTCCAAATGATATATACACCTGCATATCATTCTATAGTCGCTATTAATTAAATTAGATAGTATCTTGTTGATATCATTCATTTCATTTAGAGAGTACATTTAGAGAGTAGGCCTATATTCACCAGTCATAACCTCTCTAATTATCTCAAATTTTATTACAGCACAGTATAGTGATAGACCTGTGTTAGCGCATGCCTAGAGTATCTGTCGAGCCCACGGCAAAAGCCACATCTCGGCGTGCCTCGCGCACGAGCAAAAATTCGCTCCCGCGAAAAATCCACCGTCGGTCTTGCTCACACGGCATCCATCTGTCTTTTTCCTCCGCGGATTCTTCCCACGCGCGCGCGCGAACGCAACCCCATGTCGACGCGCGTGCGACGCGACGCAACAGAAAAACGACCGAGATTCGTGAGAAAGAGAGAGGGGTGCATGCGACGACGTCGCCCCGGCGACAGCTCGCCGAGCAGACGTGCCGCCTCTCACGACTGCCGCGCGCCGTGCTCGTTATCGTTCACTTCCGCCGACAGCTCGTGCTTCTCGACGCCGACGTCGGCCGTCAGCAACGCGGGGCCATCTTCGCTAGACGACTCGCTCAGACTGTATCTTCTTCAGCTGTCCCCATTAGAATTCTTTGTCCCCCTCTGCTTTTATACCCTTCTTCAACTGCTGCCGCTTCTCCATTATTCTTCTGTTACTCTTTTCCTTTCTCTCTATCGAATCCTGCCGCGGTCCGCCGTTCGTGCCTATTGGTGCGACCATGCCTATTGTTGACTTCTTTTGGTCCTCAGCTGGCTTTATGCTCCAGGCAAACGGGAGGTCCAGGAGTGTCACCTCCCTTTCTGGGGTTCTTCTAGCGGTCCCATGATGTCGATGGCCACCCGTTCAAATGGAGCTCCTACTTCCGACTGTTTTAACCATCCCCTTTTCAACCCTTTTTCATGTTTCCTCCGAGCACAGACAGTGCAGTAATGCATGGCACCATCTCTTGATATCCTTCGTGTAGTGTGGCCAGTAGAACCGTTGCGGAATGCTGGATCTACTCCGTTTCTCTTCTTGGTGTCCTGCTGTACGATGGTAATGCAATTGCTGAAATATTTCTTTTTGCAATTCCTTAGGTATTACCAGCTGAAGTATGGGATGAGTCGGCGTGACTGGCGTCTCCCATCGTCTATATAATTTACCTTCCTAAACTTGTAATTGATTCCACTGCCCCCAGTACGCGTTTGCATCCGATCCTATTCCTGCAATTTCTACAAACTCAGGTCTGTCCAACGCCGCTTCTTTTTGTTCATTGAAGAAGACAATCACAGGGTCCTTATTCTGTAATCTCCTAATATTTTCTTATTTTATATTCATATTTTCATCATGGTCCTCCCCCTGATCCTCAGGATTCTCTCGGCGATTCTCTTGCTCCTGACCCCCCTCGGTCACTACCAACACCTGGCCACGCTGCTCTTTATCCTCACATGAAGAATCGTCTCTCCTTCCATTACGACAAGGTGGTTCATCTCTCCATGTGGAATCCTCTGTTCCCCCACTACAGCATCTTTACTACTTTCTTCGTCTTCTTCGCCTTCTTCCTCTTCCCCTGAGTGCATCTCTATCGTTGGTCGGGTATCCTCTCCCATCATTCCATGCCTGCTATCTGGGCAGTTTTCTTTAGGGCATTTCCCTACGTCTTACGTGACAACGCAACCGCATTCTGGTGATTCTGTCTTTTCCGGTGCTCAATTTCAAAGTCGTACGTATCTAATGATGCTATCCATCGTGCCACCATTCCGAATTTGAAATTGACCAACCAAGTCAACGATGCATGATCGGTTCTTATCTTAAATAGTCTTCCCCCTAGATAATGGTGGTACTGTTTGACAAATACCACTACGGCTAACAATTCTTTCTTGGTTGTACAGTATCTCCTCTGCGAGTGGTTCAGGGTCCGACTGGCGTATGCTACTACCTTCTCTTCGCCATTCTGAATTTGCGACAACACAGCTCCTAAGCATGTATTGCTTGCATCCGTATCCAGTAAGGTAAGCTAATATCGGCGCAGAGGTGAGCGATCGCTTGAGTTGGCCGAACGCTCTTTCCTCTTCCTCTCCCCATCTAAACTTAACTCTTTTTTCGCCAGCTGCGACAGAGGCGTTGCTATAGTAGAGAATCCAGGTATGAATCGCCTGTAATATGAAGCAAGTCCTAGAAAGCTTCGAAAGATATTTCTACATTGACGACAACAGGTACGACACAGGAAACTTTGGCTTGCTAATATCTGACTTGACAGTTGAGAAAGATGACGCAGATTTCTGTTGTGTATCGCAGGATGCCGTCTCTAATGATATGCATCTAACTGTGCTTGTGCCATCACAGGCGGTTGCCATGTCTCTTATAGACAGCTCTTCATCACCGGATAGAACGCTACAGTTCTCGTGTGTATCAGACAGCAGTAATCCAGCAGCTAGCGTCACCTGGTGGCTGAATGAGGATGATATTACGGCCGACTCCAGTCAAACAGAGGAAGCGGGTTCAAGAAACAAGACATTTACAACAAAAAGTATAATGAGTTACAGGTTTTCAACGGAAGATATTGACAAAGAACTTCGTTGTCATATCTTTATTCACCAACGTTTACCCGAAGAAGTGTTAACCGAGATTTTGTACATGGCAGACACCGTGACCATCATCAGCAGTAACAACTCCAGTGATGATGACGTCATTATGATCGAGGCAGAGAAGCTGATTCTACGCTGCAATGCTGACGGCTATCCCCAACCATCTTACACGTGGTTGCACGACGACCAGAAGATACAAGCTGCATACGACGAGGTGGTGATCGAGCGAGTCGAGTTTAAACACAGAGGATTGTATGCGTGTATAGCAACTAGTGTGTTTGGAGCATACATGTCGAGTAACAAGTTGATTGTGACCGTGTTAGTGCCAGCCAGGAATGCTACAATGACGATAGGGGTAATAATGTAGACGGTAATATGACGATACTTGCAGGATCCCTTGAGGTTAGCTGCACTACAGGTAAAAGCTTTTCGGGAGGAACAGTAACATGGAAGCTTGGTGATACATCTGTAGACGGAGCTAATACTTCACATGTCAGTGAAGTTGATGGAACTATAACGACGTACAGCAAACTAACGCGTACGTTTACCGCTGATGATCACGATAAAATACTTCCCTGATATGTTGACATCCACGAATCATTCCAGTCACTGTCTGCCGATGTTCGGCTCAATGTTATTTACATTGGAGAAGTCAGAGTAAGCGGCGATAGTCAGGCAGGCGTTATGAGTATCAAATACGGCAGTGCGCTGTGGCTGCTCTGTAACGCAGACGAAACCCCCGAGCCAGGTTATTCATGGCTTTACAACGAAACTGTTATCCCAGCAAAAGCCAACAGAACGTACGAGAGAGACTCTGTCACCCCTGTCGATGCGGGCGACTACGCATGCGCAGTCTGCAATCTTGCAGGAAAGGTATTCTCAACTAATACAATGTCTGTGGTCGTTGTCCCTCCACCACAAACATCAAACATTGGACTTATTGTCGGACTGGTCATTGGTGGCTTATTATTGGTAATCCTACTCATCGTCGTCGTTTTAATCCACCTGAAAAAGAGATTAACATTAGAGACAAATACTCTGTTAAAAGGCGGCGCACAAGTAACGTACGAAAACGAGGACCACATCATGGACCAAGAGCCACCAGGTGGTCATAAGCCGGTGTTCTCCACCCAACCAAACAGCAAACACCATACAGTAGAGGAGTATGACTTCGGTATCGAGGATATCTCGATCACATATGCAAGTCGTCACAAACAAGGGAATCCGCAACCAAGTGAAAGAACGAGCCAACGAGCCTGGTCCGACGAACCACAAAATAACGACGAGGGCGGTTGTCATGGCTCTACTGGTAAACCCAACCCTATTCTACCCCCACTGCATGCTCTTTCCACAATGATTTATTACACGTTAGTTCTTACAGGGGTTTCAACCGTGCGCTGAGCACAACGAGTCCTCCACAAACTGACTGTCGTTTTATTCTGTTACCGTAGTTGACGGTCGCCTGGACACCCTCGTGTGAGGACCTAGCACGGACGCCGACACTGGCTTCTCTCGTGTTGATTATAACATGCGCATACAGCGCACTAGTCAGAGAGTTTTATTAATCGGCATGTTCTCGCAGCAAAATATATAGAATATATTATATCTATATATAGTATAATAATATATAATAATATCAGGAGTGAATAATAGAGATTCTCTATTATTCACTCCTGATAATATTTAATATATAATATTATTTATTAATCGGCATGTTCTCGCAGCAAAATGCATAGATATACCTACTGTGAGCTCGTCCATGTTATAAAAATTCACTACAACTTATTTGTATTGCTACTTTTACAACATTTCTTCATAAAATCTAAACGGCAGTGTACACATCCGCTACACGGCCGAGCAAACGTTGTACTGTATTAACAGTTCTTTTCTATAATAACACATGTTATATATTATTGCTCGATGTTTACTCAAACTCAGTACGAAATTTGGAATTTGGAATTTGCACTAACGTAGGCCTACTGTTGGCATCCTTACTTCAAAACAACTTATATTTATCTGTACGCCGGCACCCCGTCGGACGAAATTTCGGCGAAATTTCCGAAAGTGTAAACTTTGGAGCACATTTCTGGCTTAATGAGAACATTTCGTGATGTTTTCATACTGCAAGTATATGCTCACAGTAGGTGTATGTAGGCCTTTTGTTGCGAGGCACTTTAACATGTGTGTTTGTCACTGAAATTACTCAAAAAGGTAGCACTGTATGATTTTAGTGGTATTTTATTATCGGCATTAGTAAATCGTTGACGAAGACAGCAGAATATCACAACCACCTTGCTTGATGTGGTGACGTCACATGTGGTGATATCCAATCATAAGTGTAGCATCATATCACAAAGCAGATACGTCTCAAGTATTCATGGGTTCCAACTTGTTTATAACGTACACCAACCTCGTCGCTGGCTGCTGTTATGCGTTTATCACATTGTGCTGATATGTGCTCAATATGCATGAAATCAAGAGCTAATAATAACAGATCTTATTATTAGCTATTATATTATAATAATTATATTAGTATATTATTATAATAGTATTAATTATTAGCTCCTGATGAAATGAAATTGCACGAATGCGCAAGAAATCACAGTGCATATTACACTAAAAATAACGAAGGGGTAGACATAATTGTAGTACTCATGCTCTACTAGATATGAGACATCTAATCTGATTCTGGACTATATTAAAAATAAACAGCGGGCGAGTTGACATTGAATTGAGTTTATATTGTACGTTCATGCCCGCGCGCAAACTCTTCACTTACGAAATGTACCAATAAAATATTATTTTTCTCAAGTTTATTATTTTGTTGCTTGCTGTTATTGCGTTTGACATAAAATTTCAATCCTATATCAGAGAACGATACCTATATGGACATATACTTTGCGCGACAGGTCGCCGACATGCCCGCCCTTACCTACATTAATTTAGAAAGGAACCCGTGGCAGAGCAGCAATTTTAGCTTCTGATAACTTCTGTTTATTTTGTTTTATTGATTATTTAACCTCTAAACATTTTACCTCTGATCTTCTACTTACACTTAACCTTACCTTTCACTTGTATTTATACATATTATTGCAACAGTTCTTTTAATTTAGAGAGCACACACCCAGTCACTGTAATAATCATAACGTGCCTAGTCGTACCAAAATTCCCTTGTATCATCACAGCAGAACTTGTTTGCTTGAACAGCCCAGCATCTTCAAAATAAAATATAATTGCTTTGTTTAATTTATTCGTTTAAAATGGAAGACAGATACTTATTGCAGTATATTAATAAGAAACCTTACTAATAGGACGTCCTAGCTGACGTAACACTAACAAGATTTAAATCAGCCCAATCGATGGCGGTATGTGCATATATGCAGACATCGCGCTTTTATAAAAAAATAAGTGGAATAGGTATTTTAATGGAATTATACTTTCAATTTGAACACCAATCTCCGGATCTCGCACTATTGTACCAAATTTTCCTGTTGCACCGCAAAAGTTTGCATTCGTGCATGCACAGTATCTACTAAATAATATAGTGTGGTGACGAAATTATACATTTAAAATGGAGAACGAATGCTCGACGCAGTAGTGTCACATAAAAAATAAGCACCGATGCCTCTCTTAAATAATGATACGGCGCCCCGATTGACGTGACACTAACAAGTATAAAATCAGCCAATAGCTGGCGGTATGTGTCCTCCGTGATAGATGCAGTAAGAGCAGTAACTGTTGTCCTGTTATTTAGTAGATACTGTGCATGCACGAATGCAAACTCCTGCGGTGCAACAGGGAAATTTTGTACAATAGTGAGAGATCCGACAGAGATCTTTCGTGACAAACTAAGAGTGGGCTTCAAATTGAAAGTATAATTCCATTAAAATACCTATTCCACTTGTTGTTGTTTTTATAAAAGCGCGATGTCTGCATATATGCACATACCGCCACCGATTGGGCTGATTTAAATCTTGTTAGTGTTACGTCAGCTAGGACGTCCTATCCGTCAGGTTTCTTATTAATCTACTGCAATAAGTATCTGCCTTCCATTTAAAACAAATAAATTAAACAAAGCAATTATATTTTATTTCGAAAATGCTGGGCATGTTCAAGCAAACAGGTTATGCTGTGATGATACAAGGGAATTTTGGTACGACTAGGCACGTTATGGTTATTACAGTTACTGGGTGTGTGATCTCTAAATTAAAAGAACTGTTGCAATAATATGTATAATTACAAGTGAAAGGTAAGGTTAAGGGTAAGTAGAAAGTCAGAGGTTAAATGTTTAGAGGTTATATAATAAAATAAAATAAACAGAAGTCATTAGAGGCTAAAATTGCTGCTCTGCCACGGGTTCCTTGCTAAATTAATGTAGGTAGGGGCGGGCATGTCGGCGACCTGTCGCGCAAGGTATATGTCCATATAGGTATCGTTCTCTGATATAGAATTGAAATTTTATGTCAAAAGCAATAACAGCAAGCAACAAAATAATCAACTTGAGAAAAATAATATTTTATTGGTACATTTCGTAAATGAAGAGTTTGCGCGCGGGCATGAACGTGCAATATAAACTCAATTCAATGTCAACTCGCCCGCTGTTTATTTTCAATATAGTCCAGAATCAGATTAGATGTCTCATATCTAGTAGAGCATGAGCACTACAATTATGCATACCCCTTCGTTATTTTCAGTGTAATCTGCACTGTGATTTTATGCGCATTCATGCAATTTCACTTCATGCATATTGAGCACATATCCGCACAATGTGATAAACGCATAACAGCAGCCAGCGACGAGGTTGGTGTACGTTATAAACAAGTTGGAACCCATAAATACTTGAGACGTATCTGCTTTGTGATATGATGCTACACTTATGATTGGATATCACCACATGTGACGTCACCACATCAAGCAAGGTGGTTGTGATATTCTGCTGTATTCGTCTGTGTTATAAAATGTGCTTTTGCGGGAGATCCGAGATGAGGAATAAATCATTGTAAGCACGGATACCAAACTAAATCTGCAATTTCTAATATTTAATTAATTATATAATTCCATAAGCGTTTAATTGAACAATATTATTTAATTATAAAGTTTAATAACGGAACATTTTCATGTGTATCACATCTCATATTTGTTGACGAGTGAACAAGTTGATATCTTTTCAATATATTGTGAACAACGATTTACTAATGCCGATAATAAGATACCACTAAAACATACAAATTAATACCGCCAAATCTATATCTAAAATCATACAGTGCTACCTTTTTGAGTAATATCAGTGACAAACACACATGTTAAAGTGCCTCGCAACAAAAGGCCTACATACACCTACTGTAAGCATACTTGCAGTATGAAAACATCACGAAATGTTCTCATTGAGCCAGAAATGTGCTCCAACGTTTACAAAGATAAATATAAGTTGTTTTGAAGTGAGGATGCCAACAGTAGGCCTACGCTAGTGCAAATTCCAAATTCCAAATTTCGTATTGAGTTTGATTAAACATCGAGCAATAAAGTATAACATGTGTTATTATAGAAAAGAACTGTTAACACAGTACAACGTTTGCTCGGCCGTGTAGCGGATGTGTACACTGCCGTTTAGATTTTATGAAGAAATGTTGCAATAAAAATAAGTTGTAGTGCATTTTTATAACATGGACGAGCTCACAGTAGGTATATCTATGCATTTTGCTGCGAGAACATGTCGATTAATAAAACTCT